GGGCGGAGTTGCATCGGCTGTGGTGGGCGGAGTTGTGTTGGCGTCGGTGATGGACCGTGCAGCATTGGCTGTGGGCGGAGTTGCGTCGGCGTCGGCTGTGGGCGGAGTTGCGTCGGCGTCGGTGATGGGCCGTGCGGCGTCGGCGGTGGGCGGAGTTGCGTCCGCGTCGGTGATGGGCGGAGCGGCGTTGGCGGTGGGGGGAGCGGGGTAGGCAGCGGCAGCAGTGGTGACGGTAGGCGCGACTCCAGTGTCTGTGGTGTTGGCCTCGGAAATGGAGGCGGTGGCATCAGCAGTGATGGCGTTCGTTGTCCTGGAAGTGGAATACCCAGCGGCAGAGGATGTGACATCATCTGTGGGTGCTCCGACAGTGGCCACATGGCCAATGGCGGCAGGCACATTGTGGGGAAGGTCCTGGGTAGGGTTGGGGATTTGGGAGGTGGAGGAAGCCCGTTTTGGGTGGTAGGCACCAGTAAGTTTATTGTACTTCCAGTTTTTAGTGTCCAATAAAGCTGAGTAGAATTGTGAGTTCAGGTTGTGGATCCTACGAAGAATAAAAAACAGGAGAGATCCTTTGCAGGTCTGGGAGAGGGAGGCTCTGAGCTGGGGTAGGCTTGATTGTAGTGCCTGGAGGTGCCGGCGCATTGCTGCAAGTGTGTGTTTCAGGAGTCGCAGGGAGAAACGCTTCTGAAGGATCTCAATGCCATGAGTGTAGACATTGTCACAGTTGGGGCCAAATTGGGAAGGCTTGAATGTGGACTGTAGTCCATTGGGGATGATCTGGTTCCGTAGGCAGGTACTAAGAAAGGTGATGTGGCTGTAGTACCTGGTTTGCTTCAGGACATGGTCGAGCAATTTCAAGGACGAAGAGATTACGAGAGTTGCAGTGGGAGAGAGATCCCCTGAGGTTTGTCCGGAGGGAGGAGGGTAACTTCTTCAGGGTAGGCATCCTTAGAAGAGGCTTCGCAGTGGGGTTAAAATTGTATCAGAGATAGTAGGAACTGCAGATGCTGGAGAATCTGAGATAACAAGGTGCAGAGCTGGATGAACACAGCAGGCCAAACAGCATCAGAGGAGCAGGAAGGCTGACGTTTCGGGCCTCGACCCTTCTTCAGAAATGGGGGAGGGGAAAGGGGTTCTGAAATAAATAGGGAGAGAGGGGGAGGCGGATAGAAGATGGATAGAGGAGAAGATAGGTGGAGAGGAGACAGACAAGTCAAACAGGCGGGGATGGAGCCAGTAGAGCTTTCACAAGCTTCAAAATCTCCCCTCCCCTGACCGCATCCCAAAACCAGCCCAGCTCGTCCCCGCCTCCCTAACCTGTCCTACCTCCCACCTATCCCCTCCTCCCACCTCAAGCCCCAACCCCATCTCCTACCTACTAACCTCATCCCGCCCCCTCGACCTGTCCGTCCTCCCCAGACTGACCTATCTCCTCCCTAACTCCCCACCTACACTCACCTTTACTGGCTCCATCCCCGCCTCTTTGACCTGTCAGTCTCCTCTCCACCTATCTTCTCCTTCATCCATCTTCTATCTGCCTCCCCCTCTCTCCCTATTTATTTCAGAACCCCCTTCCCCTCCCCCATTTCTGAAGGGTCTAGGCCTGAAACATCAGCCTTCCTGCTCCTCTGATGCTGCTTGGCCTGCTGTGTTCATCCAGCTCTACACCTTGTTATCTCTTATTTACCCTGCAAGCTTACTATCATATTCTATTTTCCCTTTCTTAATCAATCCCTTGTTTCTCTTTTGCTGATTTCGGAATTGTTCCCAATCCTCAGGTCTCCTGTTTTCTCTTGCCAATTGTATACCTCTTTTTTGCATCTAACACTATCCCTGACTTACCTCGTAAGCCAATGGTTTGGCCACTTTCTCTCTCTGCACTCTTGCACCAGACAGGTATAAACGATTCTCGTAGTTCACCCACGTTCGCTTTTTGTATGTTTGCCACTGTCTGTCCATTGTCATTCTTCTCAGTCCATCACAGCCAATAGACGCCTCATACCATACCCTTATTAAGATTAGCCCTAGTCTCAGAATCAATTCCTTCTCTCTCCCAAACAAAAAAAAACAAAGAATGCTGGAAATCAGAAACAAAAACAGAAGTTGCTGGTAAATCTCAGCAGATCTGGCTCCATCTGTGGTAAGAAAGCAGAATTAACACTTCAGGTCCAGAGAACCTCTGGAAGAAATATAGCAGTGAGTTAAGCGCGAACCAATAAAATAAAAGAAGCTGGAAATCAGAAGAGTTCTAAAGAAGGATCACTGGACATGAAACATTAATTTTTGTGCTGTTTCTCCACTGATGCTGCCAGACCTGCTGCATTTTTCAGCAATTTCTGTTTTTGTACCTCTCTCACTCCATCTTGATGAATATTTCTATCATATTAGGGTCATTCATCCCCAAGAGGTCTCTCACAACTACAATACCAATTATTCCATTCTCATTGCATAACACCCAGTGTTATGGCCTATTCTCTAGTTAGCTCCTCACAATGTATTGATCCAGAAAACCATCCACTGCACACCACAGACCCACAGTCAGGGCAGACTGCACGAATCTACAAGATGCATTGCAGTAAATCACCAGAAATCCTTTAACAGCACATTCTAAACCCAAACCTTCCACCACAAAGAAAGACCAGGACAGCAAATGCATTGTGCATCACCACCTGAAAGTTCCCCTCCAAGTCACATGCCATCCCTATTTGGAACTATATTCCTGTCCCTTCACTGTTTCTGGGTCAAAACTCCCTTCCTAATTACAATGTAAATGTACCTCCACCCCAAGACTGCAGCAGTTCAAGACAACAGCTACAACAACCTTCTACAGGGCAGTTAGGGAAGGGTAATAAATGCTACTGTAGCCGGCAACACCCATTCCCATGAAGGAACAAAAAAATGTCAGTGCCATTACGAGAGAAGAGCAGAAAATGAACTAATAAACTGCCCGTGAACTGCACCAAAGTGATTTAAAAGTCTTGGTGCTCTGGCAGTAAGATATGTTGCAAATCCTGACATACAGCTGCTAAGGAAGAAATCACTGAGGTTGTAGTAAACAAAATAGAGCACTTCTGTTGACTCAATCAATAAACAGAAGTAGAATGCTAAACAACGAGCAACTTGCAGACAGATCAGACTCACTTCAAGCAACACACTAAAATAAGAAAACAATTGCTACGAATGTCTGGAATTGTACATCTTTTTGCAAAAAAAAATTAAGAAATTGAAAAATAATGAAACCTATTAATAAGTTGAAAATGATACAATGTCATCTCATTCAGTCATATTATTCTTTTCCTCCAATTCCTGACTTGGCCTTAAAAAGCATCGATATTTCTTTAAAATTCAACTTTTAAAGCAGTAATGGAGAAATAGACTGAAATAATTCAGAAAAGTGTATTTACTGCTGTATTTTATTGAATAATTAAACAACCATCATCCATTTCCTGTATAACGCACAAGATTTGCAACAATTTGTGTTCCATTGTAACAGCTACCATATGCTGCAGTTAAGACCAGCCAGAACCAAACAATGACTACAAAGGTTTGTGGATATTAATGTCATGGAATCTTACACTCCCTAATTTGAGGTTTAGGTCAATTATTTGTTATCAACGTACACCATTAAGATTCCACAAGATAATCTCTCATCTGGTAGTCCATGCTTCTTTTAAATAATTTAAATAGTACTTTATCATTATAATACTAAATTCATCAATGCAGTTTGAATCCCATCTTCAAAGTCCTATGTAAATTTAAACATGTGGTAGCATCCCTTTCAGCCAGAAGATTGGGGTTCAAGTCTCACCTGTGCTGGAAATATGTCCAAACAGATAAATTCAAAATATTTACAAGCTGCTCACTGTGATGGGGTGAGAATGTTAGTGGAGTAAATTCTGCCATATACGTTACAAATCTTTGGAAGTGATCTTCTTACCAAGATCTGCTGCCATCATTTACTGAAAATAATCATTCCAGCAGTAAGGGCCTGCGTGGTGCAGCTGAAGTGTCCCTCTTCTGAGCCAGGAGGCCCAGGTTCAAGTCCCACCCATTCCAGAGGTGCGTACTAATATCTTTGAGCAGTTTAATTAGAAAATATATCAAATTAGCACCAAGGACACCTGAGGTTCAGGGGTAGTGTTCCTACCTCTGGACCAGAAGACCTGGATTCAAGTCACACCTGGCCCAGAGATATGACACAACATCTTTGACAAAGCATCTAAAAGAAATCTCACATCAGTAGAAAAATATCTTAAACAGTAATTGTAGACACCCTTGCAAATGAGGTGCCACCAATTGTCATTCCCCACTGTGATGAAAATCAGAACTCAGGGAAGATGAAGCAGCAGTACTAATCTTACAGTTTTTAAAAAACTGAACAAAATACAGTCCTGAATTACAGATAGCACCGTGTCAGTTGTAGAAATCATTGCGCATAACCTGTCTTTTTGAGGAAAAGGAGGACCTATTCCAACATTTCATAACAATTCTTAACAGGTGAAGTAATTTTTCAGTCAACCTAAGTTGGAAAGTGAAAAGTTTCTCTGGATTTAAAGCAATCAAAAAACAGTTCAGAATTGACTTTGGTTTGAACAGATATTTAGCTAGCATGAAAGAAATGAGTTAAACTTCAAGATTTTTATTTTAAATTTTCCTTTAAAAACTCACACCATAAACAGAAGGAAAGACAAGATATCTTTTCTTCTCAAATTACACAAATATTTATTTATGAACCGAATATACTTTATATGCAAACACCAGACCTTGGCAGGAAAAAGGAGCATATCTAGGCCTTTTTGAATTGAACCAAAGCGTGGAAATCAATAGGTTCCAAGTACATTCTCCACGGCAAACACCTTGGGCAATATTTGACTTGCCAACGAATAGCAACTTTTTCTCAAGCTGCATTTGGTATTCCTGTACTGGCATTTGTTCATCTGTCTTGAGAGGTGCATGATAACAAATTTGACTGCGGTGCTGGTTTTTTTCCCCGACAATACTCGATATTTACTTGACTGAATAATATTTATTCTTTCGATATACAGTGCTATCTACTTGCAGCTTTAAAAAATGCTTTCCATTGTGCTATTTTAACAGCATGAGCAGGACCCACACACTGTGCAAAATAAATCGATTCCCAATATCAAATAAGACGACTTATGGAGGACTCATTCCTGTGACTGTAATTAAAGATGAAAAGTTATACAAAGCGAGAAAGCAGGAGCGAGAGACAGAGCAAGAGTGACAGTACGAGAGCGAGAGAGCCAGAATGAGCGAGAGACAGGGCGATGGAGTAACAGAGCAAGAGTGAGCGACACAGAGACAGAGCCAGAGCGAATGAGAGACAGGGCGATGGAGCCAGTGACAGTGAGTGAGACAGACCAACAGAGTCAGAGCGAGCGAGAGACAGGGGGACGGAGCGAGAGACAGAGCCAGAGCGAACGAGCTTCAGAGCCAGAATAAGCAACTGAGCAGAGTGAGACCAAGAGCGAGAGAGCCAGAGCCAGACAGCCAGAGCCAGAGCCAGACAGAGACAAAGAGCGAGGGCGAGGGCGACAGGCAGAGCGAGGGCGAGGGCGACAGGCAGAGCGAGGGCGACTGGCAGAGCGAGGGCGAGGGCGACTGGCAGAGCGAGGGCGACTGGCAGAGCGAGGGCGAGGGCGACTGGCAGAGCGAGGGCGACAGGCAGAGCGAGGGCGACAGGCAGAGCGAGGGCGACAGG